GTAAGCAACAAGGCATGAGGCAATTTACACATACGAGGGAAACAAATAGAGACAGGTCGTAAGTAGGCATGGAAAAGACATCACGATTCCTTGTGGAAAAAAAATGATTTGCTGAGGCGGAAAAAAATTAGGGAGGGGATGGACAATTTGATACAAGAGATGTTAAATGACAAGTAGCAATTATGGCATGAAAGTCAAATAGGCATGTAGAAGTTAAGGCATGAAACAAGAAATAGTGTGATGCAACAAAAATAAGGAAGCAAGTAATGTAACGGTTAAGACATGGATAGGGTAATTAATGAAATTATGGGAAAGCATAGAAACAAGTAATTTGACGGTGTATATACACTCATCACCTCGCATATACGCCGCTACACATATAATTGACATAGAACATATCTCAGGGTTCCTAATTCCCTCACATCAAGGTTAGACCCAACACTTACCTCACTCCGCAATCAACTCAAAGTTCAACCACGGCCTTGCCTTTCGAACAATCCAAGCCTTAGAAACTACCCACGAATGAAAGAGGTTCAATTTAGATCATTATTGAAAAAGTCAACAAAAGTCAACCCTGGGCTTCCTTGGTCAAAACTCGATATTCGGACTAAAACTCAATTACCCATTCACCCCCGAGTCTGGTTATGTAATTTGTTTTGAAATACGACCTCAATTCAAGGTCTAAATCCCAAAAAAAATTTAAAAAAACTCTAATTTCTACTATGAAAATTCTATATTTGATGTTGAAATCTTATGAAACGTAATGGGTAATTGAAAGAAAGTAGATTAAAGTCATTTACCAATGAATTTAGGAAGAAAATCTCTTGGAAAAATTGCCTCTATGGTGTTTAGGGTTGAGAGTTTGAAAGAAAAGAGCTTATTCCCATTCCCCCCCCCCCCTATTTTAGTTAGTTGCAATTATCGCAATTGCGATGATCACAAAAGCGATCAACCCTTCGCAAATGCGAAAAAGCCACTGAGCATGTTGTCGTTGCAAATGTGACAATTTGTTGCAAATGCGAACCAAGGCAGTCCGCAAATGCAAACAATACTTTCGCAAATGCGAAGAAGTACCAAGTAGACAATGGTCACAATTACGACCAAAACCTTCGCAATGCGAAGCTGCAGAGTCCGAAAATGCGAAGAATTTCTCGCTAATACAAACTCTTCCCAACCCAGCCCAGGCTCGCAAATGCGACTCATTGTTCGCAAAAGAGAGGCTCGCATTTGCGAGGTCTGGCTCGCAAATGCGAGATCTGCAGTTCAGCACCAGAAGCAAAGAAGCATTAATTATTTCTCTAAGTCAAAATCCAGTTTGAAGCCTATATGAAACTCACATGAGACCCTCGAGCTCCAAACCAAACATGCACACAAGTGTAATAACATCATACGAACTCGCTCGCGTGATCAAAATACCAAAATAACACCTTGAACCACGAATCAGACACCAAAATAGATGAAATTTTCATAGAAGCATAAGAACTTTCTATTTTTCAATCGGACGTCCGAATCATGTCAAATCAACTCCGTTTAGCCCCAAATTTTGCAGATAAGTCATAAATACTTAAATGAACCTATACCAAGTTTCGAAACCGTAATCCGAACCTAGTACAACAAAGACAACCTACAGCCAAACTTAGGAATTCTTTAAACCTTTAAATTTCTAGTTTTCAACAAATTAGGTTAAATTGAGTTAGGGACTTCCAAACTCGATTCCGGACATACGCCCAAGTCCTAAATTACGATACAGATCCACCGGGACCGTCAAAACACTTATCCGGGTTTTGTTACTCAAAATGTTGATCGAAGTCAACTCAATTGAGTTGAAAGCACGTTTCACATTTTCATCAATTTTTCACATGAAAACCTTCCGAAAAAGACACGGATTGTGTATGCAAATTGAGAAAGGCTAAACGGAACTAACCGAGGTTTCAAAATGCAGAAATGATGGCTAAAACTAAAAATGTCCTATCGGATCATCACATTATTATTACACTGTTAATTACTTGTTCTGTTTATTATTTATTCCAGTAGGGCCTTGACCTGACCTCGTCACTACTCTACCGAGGTTGGGCTTGGCACTTATTGCTGGGTACCATTGTGGTGTACTCATGCTACGCTTCTACACATCTTTTTGTGCGGATCTAGATACCTCATACCAGTCCAGGCATTAGTGAGACGAGCTCAGCTTTGGAGACTTCAAGGTATACCTGTCGATATCCGCAAGCCTCGGAGTCCCCCTCTATCTAGTCGACTTCATTTTCTTTCCTTTTATAGACATAGTGTTGTATAGACATGATCAGTACTAATACGTGGAGCTTGTGACTTGTTATCACCAGGTTTTGGGAAGATGTATATGCTGAGTTGCGGAGTTTATTTTATATTGGTTGTTGAGTTTTGAGACTTTAATTATCTTTCCGTTAATATTGCATGTATGTTAGGCTTACCTAGTCTTAGAGACTATGCGACATCACGATATCCTACGAAGAGAAAATTGAGGTCGTGAAATAAATAATAAAATAAAAATAAATACCAAAGAAGCCAAAAAGATGGAGTGAGTGTACCGAGAGTCGGGATGCCGCACTAAATTTGATATCGCACTTTAATTGATATTTGATGATACCACACTTCATTTGATAATTTTAATTATGTAGTGGCTACCGTAAATATTTGATAAAACTTGAAATAATAATTAATTGAGAACTTGAGAGCAATAAACAATTCGATAATCAAGAGAGAATTAGAGTAGAAGAAAAGAGCAAGTT